ATATTTATTATACATATATGGTTAGAAATATATTTACCTGTAGATGGACCAGGTGTATATAGGGGCCTCATTTTGTTTGTGTGTGTAAAGAATTAGTGGAGGCAACTAGACACTGGTGTCAACGTTGGTGCGATTGTCGACTTTTAAAAATAAAAGAAGCATCTTCTGAAACCTCTCTGGACTCCTGAACTGTTCATTTGACTCCATGGCCACTCAGGCATGTTTACATAGGCCAACCCTGGAAGTTAGCGTCGCAGTGGGTTCCCTCAACAAAAAGCCAATGGTATTTTTCCTTTGGATTATTATACTTTTATGATTTTTGAAGCAATCGACAGAAGTAAAAAACTAACATTAGGCTATAAACAAACTACACCGCGGTTGCATGAGTGGAAGTATTCACAACGAGGCTGTGACGGTGGACTAGTCGGCGAGATGACTTTTTGTTGTCTCATTTAGCCACTTGTTAGCAACTGCCTTTTTGAAGACACTTAAAGCTTCAAAATGACTTCCTGTTGTATTTGTATCGTAGACTAAAATGTTAACCACAGACCTATTCTCAGACATCTAACCAAAAAACCCAATGAGGCAAGGGAACCGGAAGTCCAAAAAAGGTTGACTCATTTCCGGGTTTTAGGAATCCTGCACCATGTTACAGCCCCTTACCCCCAGAGGCTTATCAGTCGTCAGACCGATAGCCAATGGGTTCCCAGATTGGTGTTCTTGTGGTGAGGATGGCCTCTGAGTGAGGCGACGGTCCTGAAAGATACATATACAAGTTTTCTTTCATTTACTATTGTGTTATATTATGAAAATAATGCTGAGAACGGTATGCATTGTGATTTATCCTAATGCTAAACCTGTTATGCGTTTTATTTTGCCAGTGAGATAAAGCATCGTATGAATGCTAAAGATTGCTGTTTTAGCTGTCCTCTCTGACCAACGCCCTCTGAGTCAGATGAAGGCCCTGAAAGCTACAAAAGCACATTTTCGCTCATGTTATTTCTGTGTTATTTTATGAACATAAATAAATACCAATATGTACTTCACTTGCAGCTCATATTGCTGCAGTGTTTAACAGTGGTGTCTGTGGTGGGATGAGGTTGATCAAACCTTGCAAAGTAAAATAGTTTCTTGAGAAAAAAGAAAAGAAAAATCTGTTTCTGAGTTTTTCTGAAATGTATTACTTGACAATCTCAAAGAATTTGTCTAAATATTGCTAAATATTTACAGTAATTATTTTTACTTTGTTCTGCAATGTCCCTAAAATGCTGTTGTATTCAATGTGGAATGTGAGTTGATGGTATCGGGTTTCACTAGCACGACTTTGATACTGAAAGCAGGGTCTGCTTCAGAGGCTCAACGCTGGTCATATGGTATCGCACATGGTCGTCCTCTGAGCATCTTTTCCCTGTTATCAGGCTGAACTCCATCGATGTCAAGTACCAGATCTGGAAGCTGGGGGTTGTATTCACAGACAATGTGAGTATGTCGAGGCACAGCCATGCATGTCTGCATGTAGATTCATTGCTGAGTTTCACGTTCACAAATAACATAACAGTAATTCTTAACTTTTAATGAAAATTAAGTTTTTCATTGATAAAAAAATATTAAACTGTGCCTTAATTTACCATCATTTTCTGATTCAAATAAACCACACTATCAATACATTACACTCTGTATATTGCCTTAAACTGACTTATTGAATACAATTATAGCTGTTACTGATGTGGTTTCTTGCCGATATGGGAATATTTCATGAACTATGTATTTATTACCTGGGTATGTACAGCAAAAAAATTGTGAAACTTAAAACCCGAAATCTTGAAACATCTTCTGTATTAATTAAAGACAATCATGATGTAATTATTTCAAACTTGCACAAAGAACATCTTGGTAAAAACATATATATTTTAAGAAACGCATCAGTAATATATACATTAATATAGTAAATGTTTTATCAATGTAGGGTTTTACGTTCAGCTTTCTGTCTCTACAGTCACTTCAAATCACGTTATCATGAACTGATTGACTAACCTGCAAATACAGCCACAAATTGAGCATTGGTATGATTTGACTAACCTCTCTCTCCCTGGCTCCTTGCAGTCCTCCCTGTATCTGGCCTGGTATATGACCATGTCCATCCTGGGTCACTATAACAACTTCTTCTTTGCTGCCCATCTGCTCGACATCGCCATGGGCTTCAAGACACTCCGAACCATCCTGTCCTCAGTCACTCACAATGGCAAACAGGTAAACTACTGCGTTCTCAGCTGCAGTATAGTCAACATAAATACAACTGCACACATATTTTGACTTTAGCTCGCTTGTACTCAAACACCTAGCTGCAACTACTCTATGTTATACAAAATAACATAGAAATGATTTAGTCCCCATCTAAAGTGCCACTGGCAGACTAGACAGCTAGCTGTCTAACGTCTACGCTGATGATACTCAGATCTACCTTCAAGACATTAAATGTGTCTAAGACATTAAAGAATGGTTAGCTCATAATTTCTTTTATTTAAATGAGGACAGGAAAGAGATGCTACCCTTTGGCCCGCCACACCATACCACTGTTACTGTCAACAAGTCATTTAAAACACTGCAGCCAGGTTATTAACGGGGTAAGAAAACATGAGACCACATCACCCCTATCCTTGCATCATTACACTGGCTCCACGTTCATATCAGGATGAACTTCAAAATATTTCTAATCCCCCATGTGGCCTGCTGGCTGTGCCCTGTTCATAGAGGGAAAAGGCAGGGATGGGGCTTTTAGTGCAGCGGGTCCTCGGCTCTGGAATAGCCTGCCTGAGGTCGTTAGACAGGATGAGTCTGTTGATGCTTTTAAGAAGACCCACTTTAATGCTCTGGCTTTTAACTGTGTTTTACCTGTTTGAATCCAATTCTCTGGGTTTTTTGTTGAATTTGTTCTATTTTTTATCTTGTTTTATTTATATTCATGCACATATATGTATCTGTGCTTGTATGTGTAAGCTTATATTTATGTCTTTTTGAAGCACTTTGGTGCAAAACCTGTTTGCTTTTTAAAGTGCTATATAAATGAAATATGCTGTCTGGATACAAAGACAATATACAGTATATATATATTTGGGAAGATGCGGAAAGCAGAAACGGCTGATCAGTCATGTGAGTAAAATGTTTGCTCTGTCAGAATTTATCCGGCAAAGGTGTTTCTGTAATCAATTCGGCGCATCAACCACCTTAAGCTAGCATAAAAGCTTTTTTGCGCAATTGAGGAAGTTTTCCATTTCCATAGAGCTTTTTTAATGCGATATATAAAAATGCGCCTAAAAATATGTGAATGTCAATTTCAGATATCAGTATCTCTGCCACGATGCTGGTGAGCATCCAAATGTATCTTAACAAACAATGAACCAAATCAAATGTGTCAAATATTCAGCTGACATGCAAAGTCGGTCACCTTGTTAGGTCTTAATTAGTTTAGTTTCATTATAATTAAAGTGTTTAATGATTCTCCATTAAAAAAACAAAAACAGTATGAACCCCATTTAAATTAACCTTACTAGTTTGTTGCACTTATTGTATTCGTTTGTTTCTGTATTAGTTTGTTTCTGTACTTCTGCTCTGGTTTATGCTCTTAGATGCTTGTTTAAAGGAGATGCACTTATGACTTCTGGTGACTAGTAGTTCTCTTGAAAACCGATGTTGAATACACTTATTGTAAGTCGCTTTGGATAAAAGCGTCTGCTAAACGACTGTAATGTAAGTGTGTTGCAGACAAAATATATTGTCTTTACCTACAGGCATATGAAGTCCAAATTTACCGAGGAAAGAAAAGTGAAGAACTGAATGCTTAACCCTAAATAATAATTTTTTTTTAAATGCAAAAGAGCTGACTGATAATGATCTACTTGAGTTAACAATGTTGTACTATTATGCATCACAGCAGCCTCGTCCTCTCTCCTGTCTTCCAGCTGGTGTTAACAGTTGGCCTGTTAGCAGTGGTGGTGTACCTCTACACAGTAGTGGCCTTCAACTTCTTCAGGAAGTTTTACAACAAGGGTGAAGATGGAGAACTGCCAGACATGAAGTGCGACGACATGTTGACAGTGAGTATGAGTAGGATTGTTTAGCTTTTAGGTGCTGTAGTGCGGTCAGACCACAGACTGAATATAAAAGTGGACGTAGTCACCGCGACATCGTCCATTGCTTTGTGGACTATGGTCTATCTGTGAGACCGCAGTACAACAGGTCACGACTGCTACATGCCACAGCATCAAAACAGGAGCAGTTCAATCTCGGGCAAGCCTCCGAGGCCGAGGGGCTTTATTTCTAGGGTTTGCAAGCTGATATCGGTGCCAATATGTGCTTTTACTGTGTGCTGGTCATTGTTGGCCGGATTGTTTCATAAGTAGCCAGTTTACAAGCTCATTTTAAACTGATATAAAGCAAATCTTTTGCAGACGACAGCCGGTGGGTTCAAAGATTTCCTTTCAGTCAATGTGTTCTGCCTCCTCCTTTGCTCCCATCTCGTTGCCTCCTGAATCTAACATGTTTCATTCTGTTAGGTGTGTGAACATGGGGTTCTATGGGGATTGACCTCGTTTTTGCAGCCAGCCTCAAGAAGCCATTTTAGGAACTGAACTTTTAGACACTTTAGCGTAAGTCCGACACATTCTCAACGTATTGTGCTTTACTAGAATGGCAAATACAGTTGAGTGCAATGACTCAAAGGAGCATCCCAGCACAACAGCATAACTTTGATGGCCAGTGTTAACTGTGAGCATTATGACAACATTTTACATTGGGATAAGGAACAAATACTTGATATGACATTTAATAAATGAGCTTACAATGAATACAATATGGGTGAGGGGTGAGTTAATAGTGTTTGAGGTGTGTCGACAAGTAGCCGTCAGATGTATGGTGACAGTAAGTGATTGGATATGAAGAACTGATGTGAACCAAAAGCTATACTGGGAGCTGAGACTGATCTTTCTGGTGACTTTTCAAGCAGATATTCTGAAACTAAAATCTGCACATTACATCTGTTAAGATATCTTTATCTTTAGCTCTGTGCAGTAGCTCACTGATGTTACGCACATGTCAGTAAAGCCTGTCTCATTGAAAGTAGGAAGTATCCGAGGAGCCTGTCAGTAAAGAGCGTCCAGCTCCATTTATGGACAGAAAGTCATGGGTCCGAGCTTTTAGTCTGACAGTGTTCACCCTCAGGCTCTATATGCGGTTCAGCTGAGCTGCTGTAAGATTACAAGCTCTTTTTTTGTCCTGTTTGTTTTCCAGCTATCTGAATCAGAAGGATCAACCTGGGGTGCTTATCATTATGAAAGCTCAATTAAAAGCTCTTTTGGGTACAGTAACTGATGATCCTGGATAATGGGATCTGGAATGGAAAGTGAAACAGGAAACCGTTTTCATGATGCAGGGAGCAGGTTAGCTGCAGTAGCAGCATAAGCTACTGTTGTGGTCTATCCTCGTTAAAGGTGCATTAGCTTTGGGGTACAGGTTAGCGACACTGTGAGTTTAGCCCAACGATAGCTTCATGCAACAGGCCATGGTACACTGACACCAGGTTTATTATGCATTTTAAACTTTGGTTGTGTAACTCATCACATTTACACAAAGGTCGGTGCCCTTGATGCTCGTTGGCCTCACAGGTATAATCAGGTAGGATGCGTAAACATGTATCATACGAGTCAGATATCTAGGAACATCTTGTCAATGCTGGAGGAAGGAAACAAGTGAAGACACAATGAATGACTGCCGTGATGAGGCTGTTCCTGCTACCAAGCCATCTGATAGAAATACTATAAAAGGACTCTGTGGTGTGTGTTTTCTGGGGGTGGGAGGGGGCCTTCTGTCACCCGGAAATTTCAGGACAGACACACACAGACTCTAATCCCCTATAGTCAGTCACCCATAGCATTCCATAGAGCTCTTCTGTTTCCTATTAAGGGGCTGTGGGTGGCAGCTCGAACTGGTCTACAGGAAGGTGACAGGGGCTTAGTGGGATGGAGGGATGGACTGATAAAGGGCCACTGCCTCTGGCAGGTTTTTGCTCTTTCCTCTCTTCCCTTTATGTGAATAAATCCCTTACAATAATACTCACAACAGAATGAGAGGATCAGAGCTGATCGCTTCCTTTCTCTTCACTTGTTTTTTCTCTTGAACTTCATCTTTGTCTTTCTGTACTGGGGTTTTCCCATCATCTGCTCTCTCTCTCTTTCTGCTCACTTCTTCTCTGCCTCCTGTTCCCTTTATAAATACAGTATGTCTGTTTAACCTTTGAAGTCTTTCACCTTTTTTCCAGGTTTCGCATTTACTTAGACGAATTATCTTTCTTTCGAAGGCATTTTCTCTTTTTAAGTGATTATCGTTTTTGTACTTTGTTGCTCAAATATATAATCAATGACCTGCAATTTTTAAATATTACTGTAATTTAGTGCAACATCACAAAAAATCTTTGCACATTCATTGCAATATCTCAGCGAAGTGGTTGTGAATTCAGTCGATGCGAGTTGGGACAGTCGCAACCGGTTCCTATTTCAAATCCAGCACGTTCCATGTCTCCCCCCGTGTGTCTCTCGCCCTTCTCTCCCAGTGCTACATGTTCCACATGTATGTAGGCGTGAGAGCAGGTGGAGGAATTGGTGACCAGATTGAGGACCCAGCAGGTGACGAGTATGAGATCTATCGCATCATCTTTGACATTACCTTCTTCTTCTTCGTCATTGTTATCCTCCTGGCCATCATCCAGGGTGAGAGATCGGACACAGACACACACACACACACACACACACACACACACACACAGACTCGCAGTAAAGAACCCATGGAGATGACTCCCTTTTGTTGTTATGCTGGTTAAGCTAAAACTAGTCCTGAGTTGCCTCCATCACAGTCTGGGTCAGATCCTGATCTTGTAGCTATGCCTCAGCAGTAATGATCATGAGCGGCTTTTATGTTCTTAAATCTGGAAGGTCTGACATCTGAGACTTGAGTTTACATTCGCCTATAAATTTGCCATCTTTTTACAGTAACACTGTCAACTCATAAGCATGAATTAATGTAATTTGGGCAGTAACTAAAGATGTTATAACACTCTTTAAGACACTTAGAGTCATTGAAAAATACACACTGAGTTTTGTCTCTCTTGAGCAACTCATTTTTCGTATCTGCATAAGAGTGGATTGTCTCGCTTTATTCCCTGGCCACTTCACCATTATTAAAATGTAAGTGTATTTATGAAAATATCACAAGAGTTCGACGCTGTCCTTTAATTAAGGATCCAACGAAACAGATCTCATGACTGGAAACTGTAACGTCCTGCTCACTGGTCTGTCTAAGACATCACTTAGCAAACTTTAGCTTGTACAAGATACAGCAGCTGGAGTGCTAACAGAGATAAGAAGAGAATCTGTCAGTCCAGTGCTCGCCTCTCTACACTGGCTGCCAGCATCCTATATGATTGATTTTAAAGTTATTTTATTGGTTTTAAAAGCTCTTAATGATACGGCACCCTCTTACAATCATACTTCACTCATACTACTATAATCAGATTGTGTGAGTAACTCTTTACTGAGGTCTTCTCTTAGATGAAGAACCTTGTCTCTTATTAGAGAGTAAATGAATGAATGCCTTTCTTTTATTTTGTAGTTTGACAGATTTTCTAGGGTAAAATATTTCCAAATTGCAGACATTTTGCTCGCTCTGGCTAACCTTACACTCTCAGCTATGACCTGCCGGGTCGGTACTGAGCATGAACAACTCAGCAGGGATGAAAAGGAAGCCAGCTGGCTCACTCGTTAGCTACATTCTCACAGATACCCAATTCAGCTTAATGCTGTGTTCACACCAAACACGAATATGCACAATTTGCGTATTTTACGTGATGCAGTGCTGCGAGAGATTCTCCTCCCGACGTTGTTGAATCAGAAAACAAAACATCAGTGGGCACCCAGAGCTCTTCCTCACAGGGACCAGACGGAACTATGGGTATAAATGTATGTGTATAAAACATAGACTGTCCATGTTATAAACAATAACGTCGCTGCCGTATTTAAGAATAGATCACACTATTCTGAATACTGATGGAGAAGATTCAATGTTAGCATAGCCTAGCACTAATCGATCTGATCTCCATTCAGAAAAGAAGCATTTTGAAAGTTGTTTGCTTGTCATCTTGCGTCCAGACCTAACAAATAATGAATTCAGACTTTTTACAAATCTGTATTATTATGTAGCTATCAGTTTATTTCTATTAAATTACAGCTAAATCAGTTAATTCTGGGGTTCATACTGCTGGAGTAAACCAGCCGGTGTGTAGCTTGCTAGATACAGTGAATTCACAGAGCACATCCTGATGATGTTATGAACCCAGACATGACGGCGTTTGGTTTCCCGGGATATCGTGGATATCGACATGTAACAAGCAGCAATGATGAACAGCATGCGAAAATTTGCTTCACATTTGGTGTGAACACAACATTGTGATTTATCAGAGCCATTTCAGATACTGATACAACTCTCACTGCAATAACTGCAACATCTAGATTCATAGCACTATTAAAGGTCCATTAGATAAAACAAAAGACTTTCAGGTGGTTGTGGTCCAGGTAGCTAATGTCTACACCATCTGTGGTCTGAACACTCTAGGGTTGATCATTGACGCTTTTGGGGAACTGAGGGACCAGCAGGAACAAGTGAAAGAAGACATGGAGGTGAAAAGACCCACACTCACACATTCTTACCAAACACTGTACTACTATACAGCACATGAATGACGGGTCTAATGTAGAAATATATGGAAGTAAACACTGCAGGTAAATGTTTTGTGTAATGACAATCACTTCACCCTGACACGTTTCTCTTTTCCAGACCAAATGTTTCATCTGTGGGATAGGTAATGACTACTTTGACACGGTGCCACATGGCTTTGAAACGCACACGCTACAGGAGCACAACCTTGCCAACTATCTGTGAGTACATCTGGAGATAGTGTGTGTTTGTTTGTGTACCGGCTGCTCTGAGTTTTTTGAGCGATGACACACAAATCAATAAACGTTGGTGTGGCTGTTGGAGGTTCCTGCTAGCTCGCTGGTTAGCTGCCATTTTCCCAAGTTTGGTGGGCCCTCCCCTTCCGCTGCTTAGCCAAGATGGTGACCATGGAGGATGAGCGTTCGCAAGGTTTCAAGAACAATTTTTTGTCATTATGCAACACAGGGTTGAACAACGAAATGTAGTTGCAGCCCATTACAAGAAAAACACGACAAACACAAAAGTGTATTCCTGCGTTCTTTTAAACTTGCATCAGGAGGAAGGCAAACTGCTGCAACAGAACAATTCTCTGGGCAATATGGCCGACATCTTCACATTAAAAACTCAACATCATGGAAACACTGTCCATCACATTTGACTGTTTGAGCACCAAGCATCAGTGTAAACACCGAGTCCGCCTCCTCTCGTCCCACCGGAGTCCTGCTCTCTGTCCTGCTGTCCGCCCGTCAAGTGCAGCTGGATCCAGGACTACGATGGAGCCAGGTCTCTGTGAAGACGTGGGCACAACAGTCACTGAAATTATTTTGTTTTTGGTGATAATCCACCCCAAATCTATGTTTCATTATTATAACTATGTGTAATACTTTTCATAATTTGTGGGAAAATACTCTGCTCCTTTGAGGTCTGTTGATAGTATAATGGTTGGATTTTATTAAAATCAGGCTCTGTTGGTGTGTGTGCATGTGTGATAATATTGTAAGATGTTTTTTCTAATGTGTGTGTTTCAGATTCTTTGTGATGTATCTCATCAATAAAGATGAAACAGAGCACACAGGCCAGGTAAAGCAGCTCATTTTCCTTTGAGCTCAGTGCATGTCCATTACTGTGATATTGTAATGTGGTTAGTAGCCCACAGCTCTGCTTCAAACTTCCCTACAGTCTTTCGGAACCCTGCTGCTTGCATTATTGAAGCCTCAGTATGCTTCAAATAAAGTGCTCATCAAGTCCTCTAACATCTGAAACCTTTCCGATAGTAAATGGGGAATCTTGCCCCTCTGTATGATGGCCTGCCTTTCGCCGTGCAGTTGAGTTTGGCCATTGGTAACAGGTAGAAACACTCTGGCCCTGGTCGTACAATGGTTTGTTGAAGCATACTGAGGCCTTTAATGGCTCAGTAGCTGTATTTCCCTTCACATACTGTATTTATAGATGGTATAGCTGACTACAGATCTGTTGTATATAATGTAATACCTTCCTTCCTCCTCCCATCTGTCTGTCTTAAAGGAATCTTACGTATGGAAGATGTACCAGGAGCGTTGCTGGGAGTTTTTCCCTGCTGGTGACTGTTTCCGGAAACAGTACGAGGATCAGCTCAACTGATCTGTTCTTGGAGCAACAAACTCTTCCCTTCCATACTGTAACCTGTTCAAGGCCCTCTAAAGCCATCTTTCCGTTGCTTCTCCCTCAAACCTTTCTTACTGTTCTCTAAGGAGTCCCTGTTCTACCGAACAACAGGTTCTACATTCGACTCCATTTCCCAGTAGAGGAACCACATCTCCAGCCTCCTCAACAGGCCCCACCCTAAGCTCTTGCTGGCTCTTCCTCATCCAGGCACTCAACTCGCCAGCTCTGCCCCAACTTCCAGCACACTTTGTTTGGAATGCTTCTAACTCTGACTTTGTACATAGAAAATATCAGAGTATATGCTATACAATACGGGACTGGTGGCACGTCAAGGTTTTTAGCTCAGATGATGACTTCTTTGCTTTATCCTATTCTACATTCACAGTAACAAGCAAAAAATACTAAGGGATACTGGAGAAAAGGAAAAAGGAAGGACGAGATGGACGAGGGAGGAGAGTGGAAGGAAAATGAAGAGAGAATTCTTCCTGAAAGACTTTCAGGACTGACCGATACACAAAGACACAAACATGACTTTTCATGTGTACAATGCACGTTGCATGTAGGTACAGCAAAAAAGGAGCACCTGTTCAACCCTGCTGTGATCCAACACAACAGCTCTGCAATAATCGGACCTTTGAGAAGCTTACATGTCAGCTTTTGTTAAAGACTGTCAAAGAGGTGAGGGATTCCATTAAACTCTTTGTGGTACATGTGAAGTGGGAAGATATAAGGTGCCTCTAAATAATAATCTAATGCAACACCACCAAACTTCAGTCTCTGACATTACCAGAGTCGAATCAACACTTCTGTGACACTGTCAACTAAAACTGAACATCCTGATCTTCACAAATAGGGCTGTTGTACTGGATTTAATTAAAGTATAGTTTACAGATGTTAATATTGTGTCCATACCCTGTACATGCCAACACTGTGTGTGAAGGGCTCCTTAACTAAGTGTTCACATTGCTAGCACCATGATCAAAAGTGCATTTTGTTCCAGTGGAGCTCAGTGACCTGGGAACTCAGCCAAAGTATGGACATCAACAAGTCATAATCCTCCATGAGCTTGCAAGTTATCTACATCTCTTTTTTTCTTTTAAAAGACTACATAAATAAATAAATCCCCAAAACTATGTTTTCAAAATGGTTAAATTCATCTTTCTTGTATGTGATTTTTTTGCCCAGTAGCAGCATGGCCTTGGGATAGAGATTTCTGTCTGTCCAGCAGTCTGGTCCAGATCACAATAGGTGGGCAACTACTGGTCAGGTTGCCATGAAAGTTACTGAGCACATGACCTGATGCCACCATTCAGGCAAACTTTTCATCCTGCTTCTGGTCAAGGCTCTAAGAAGAGCGAAAAAGGTCAGCATGTTTGTTCTGTGCAGTAGTATTGTGGTGTGTAAGAAACATCACAGCTCTAGGTGTCACTAGTTAAGACTTTTTTCAATTAATGCTACTTAACTGGGGCTTGCTCGGTACATTAGTTAATGAAACAATGAAGTTTTATTACAAAAAGCAATACCAAAGCGGCAAAAAAAAAAGAGATTTGTCCGTTTCAGACTTTATTGCTGCAGACAAAGTTATCGCGTGCTTGTTAGCTAAGATAAATAATCAACCAGACTGGAGCAACCCATCAGTCACAGCTGGAGGACGGGCTGAAGACACATGATCAATGTGGGGATAGGAGAACGGGGGGTATAGTGCCTTACTAAGCCAGGGGTAAGTTATGCAAGCTGGAGGAGGAGAAGAGAGGAATGTCGGAGAGCCTCACATAAATACAATGCAAAGACTGAGGATGACTCCTAGAGCAGGGTGACTGTGGTGATGTTTATGAAAGACGGAAACACCACCATGTGTGAGCACTATAGGAAAGTAGAAATAGAAGGTCAGAGAGAGAAATGCCCTCAGGACTTTGTTGTTGGGAGTATAACATGACTGACATGCCTCAATGGTCCTTGAGCAGCTGCGGTGCACACCTGTGTACAAGTGTCACATTTGACATAATTTCACATTTCAGTTGCGCTTATATTGTAGCTTTGTGCAGTGAAAAAGGGGGTGTGACAATTAAAACAAATGTACAGTTAATTGTGTTTTAATCAATTCTGTTTGAATATAAAGTACTGTTCAATGAACTTTAAACTGTCTTGAAGAGACAGCAGCAGCAAATGAGGATTGGAAATTGAGTGGGGATGTTGAGTATTGCGTGGAGTATGTTGTTAGGTTCAAGAACCTCTCGAAACTGGGGGAAACCGCACGTGGTCCAGCCTTGCAAGAAGTCAGCCGGTTTCAATTATAATCAAAAGTATTTAATACTACACAAGCTAAAACAATTGCAAAGTGAAGTACACTATTTACAGATTCTATAGATATATATTTACAGCATCGATATAGAAATATGATCCGCGTGGAAAAGCAGTCATACATACCACCTGGATGACAATGAGATGAACAGGAAGAACAATTATCAAGCTGTTTCTGAATTTCCTTATATAGTTCGTAAAAAGTCAAAATGTCCGTCTTAGTTTGGCGCAGGGGGTGGAGCTCCTTCTGCGCGTCCCTGTAAATGCCTGTCTGACCCTTGGCTATTCTACACAGTTTAATACATCTTTTATGTAATACGTCTTTTATGGCTTAACACTTATATGGTAAACATACATGTAAACAAATTCTACTAAGAAACTCTTCTAACTATAAATTCTAAAACACACTTCTAATCATAAATCTTAAAACACTTCTAATTATAAATCTTAAAGCACACTTCTAAACCTAAATTTCCTACAATGTCACTAGGGGTAGCTATGTAATAAGAGAATCCGCCACTTTCCTCATAGTGAGTATAGTATTGTGCCACTTGTCCAGAGTAGATGGCTTCTTCCTTTGAACAAAAGCATTCAATTCGTTTGGGTGGCTCTATATACACTAACAGTTACAAGTGTATTAGGTACACCCAAGCAGCAACCTCCAGGTTTGAAAAAGGAAGCCAATGCAGATGTGCAGTTCCTTGAATGGCCACTTGAGGCTGGCTGCAAAACGAGTCAATCGTATCCCCATGTTAAAATGCCCAACTTTACAGCAGAAAGAAACATCTTTACAGTCTGCTACAAAGAACTGTTTTGGTCTCTGTAACTAATTTCCCTGTTAATGTAACTGTACAGGGGGGGTGAATTTGTATTTAACTCACCCGTTTTAATTGTCATACATAATTAAGGGTGTGGATGCTTTAGGTGACAGGCTGCCACCAGAGTCGGCTGGTCATTTTATCAAGTAGTTTTCCTCCAGCCAAAATCAGCATCCCAATCAATATCACACTTAATGTGAATTACGGATGCACCTTGCTAACCAAACTAGCTAGGTGACGCTAGCTAGTTGTACCTGGCCCGACTGAGCCTTGCTCCTCTCCAGCTCCAAACTCTTGTCTAAATATGGTCGCTTCTGATTCCAAAAAGCAAGATGGTGATGGCCAAAATGCAAAACTTGCAAGTGGAGATAATAAACTGGCAACTGAGTGTATATATTGCAATATACTTGTTGAATCTACTGCTGAACAAGCTCTGTTTGGGATGGCTGTTTGGGATGGCTGTTCCAACAGCATGAACGGTTTCCATAACACTAAAGAATATTGACACGTTCTGTAGTTATCTTGTAGCCTCGCTTTCACTATGCAATTCTGTCTGCCATTGGGTCCTGATCTCCCAGGAAAATCAAGGCTCAAGGGCCGCCGCAGCAAAATGTAGGATATATAACTGAAAAACAGGGTGTTTTACTCTGCCGTTATCATGGCACTGTGATCGGGTTTTGTAGTTCAAATTGAGATTATTACGGCTGTTTCATGCTTTGGACAGTAGCCAGGCTGGCTAACGCTAGCAGCCAGAAAACCAACCAGGAGCTACAAGGAGGCCAAGACTAACTAGCTTTAGCTTGGGTTAGTCATATTGCTAACACACTAATTAACACAAACACCAGCAGCCACAAACAAAAATATACGATTCATTGTCCCTTTGATAATCCGAACAAGGCCTTTCTAAAATGAGCAGTGGTGAAACATAATACCAATTGGAAGCTGTGGGGGTCCCTTCGGTGAAAGGTTGTCTTGTGCCTCTTAAAAGATGGATTAATGGTGTTACCATACTGTATATCCCTCCGCTCTGTCTTGTGCAATATAGGAGTCAACATTGAGAGACAGCAATCCATTATCCATGACAGTATGCTCATTGTTTTTCCTACTCTGTACTTTAATTGTTACACCCCTCACTGCAAAGCAGGAAGACTGTGTATAAAGTGGAAGAAAAGCGCAAATCTGCCATAGCACACATTTCATGACTTACAAAGTTTGACCTTTTAGGATTTGGGTGTACAAACAATGGCCAAATGAAACAATAACACCAGGAACAAAATAGTCTATTTAAGCGTCATTATTATTGTAGTAATGATTATTTTCCTTTTCTTTTTTACTCATTCATTCCTTATGAATGAATAAGGAATGTGTGGTGTGGTGATGTGTGTGGTGATTGAATGAATGCCCATAGCTGGCAAACATTTAACAAACATGTCCTGGAAACATTTTCAAAAAAGGATTGTTTATCTGAAGTTTTTTTTGTTGATTGTTTTTGGTGATGATCTCATGCAATACAGCAAAGAGAGTTACTCTGTTTGTATGGACATTCTCCAAAAAGGTATATCTTGAAAAAATGCCATTGCATGATTATTATGCGGGCTTGATTAACAGATATATCAAAAACACTAAATCTGTGTCACCCATAAATTGTTAAATAGGATTATTTAAGATTTCTGTATTATTGTATTTAAGTGTTGTGGGCTTCATTGTAACTCTTCAAGTGGCTCCTGCTTTTCTCTCACTTCTCCATCTCTGTTTAAATATACTATGAGTCAAATATTTGTTTAAGTATCATTTGGTTTTAAGCTCAAGCAATAGCCCTTCAGGGAGTGTATGGGAGGTGACTGACCATTGTAAATTGCAAACAAAGGCAAAAAAAAAAGCTTGCTTAACTTTGTCTCAGTTTAAAAAACAATTATTTATTCATTTATAACCTATGTATTTATTTACTTTAATAACATAAATAGATATATGAATAATAAAGGCAGGGAAATAAATGGGGTCCTATTTTGTAACACTTTTACTGGCTCGGCATGCACTCTGCAACACAAGTGGCCATCGGTGAAGCGTATGAAAGATGGATTGAGCTTCAGACTCTACAATACTTCAATAGTGATGAATTTGGATCATGTAAAGTGTTTAATATTTAACAAGACATTATGAAATAAATAATCAAATAAATAAATAAATACAAACATGATGTATAATATAACCACGACTTTTTGAGACAATCAAATACAGTTTTAAAAGTCAGCTAATTTTTATGAAGTGATATTTGATCCAGGGGCAGAGCTTCAGACAGAAGTAACAACCAATCACATGACTGGAAATTTCATGGTTATATGTTTTGTCTATATGTTTTAATCATATTTATTTAATACCGTTTTAAATATTAACCATTTTGGGTGTCAATAATCAACCTGCAGTATGATGCAGTTAGCCAAATAAGCTTCCTGCCTAATGTTTGCTTTTGCTTTATGTTATAAATGTCAGCTCACCACAGCTAATAACAAAAAATGTGCTAATAGGAGCAGTACTCCTACTTTGAAAATCAGTAATGAGATATGATTACGACAAGGCATTGGAAATTAATCTGCTAGTTTTCTCACCTGAGTCAGGTTGTACATGACGTTATGTCCAAAGTACTTCCAAATACATGCTGCCACTAGAGGCTACTAAAGAGCCACTTTTACTGATTTCACCTTTAATGTTGAGTGAGGAAGGATGCATGCGCGATTTACATTGAGCACAAATTGATAGACGAATATAAGTATGATAACACAGTGCAACCGACCAGTGTGGGTGTTATGCAGTGTGCTCACAATGCCATGCTGATGCCATGCCTATTTTTTACTTTTTATTTTCATTGCAATACCACCTCAAACTGAATAATGCCATTACTAAATGATATTTTGCTCATATAAATATAAATATTTACTACAGAGGGGGCATGTTAATTTGCCACTGAATAGTGCATCATGTAGACGTTTTGAGTAGACTGTTGCAACTTCTGAGAGATACATGTATAAAGTGGGACAGAGTCTATGAGTAATGAATGGATTTGCATGATTTTGGAAATAAAACTTTATTCATTAACTTGTGAAGAGGAGAATATTCTTAATTCAACATGTTTGACTGTTTATCCATGTTTTGTGGCTAGATGGCTGCTGTGCTTCTGTGATCTTGTGGTTGGCATTTATATCCAACAATAATCTGAGGAATCCTACCTAGAACTAAAATCCCAGTACTAGACTGAACTAAGAAGTCTCCAAACAACCTTTTACAGCTAAACTGTGGACATTATTGGTATCTAGTGGAGGTTTCTGGCTTCATCCTGCTGATCTTTGGGCCTGGTAGGCCTTGAAGCCTAAGGACTGGACCATGCCACCCAAAGCTTCAAACAATGCCACCGAGGAACATGTCACCATGGCTCAAGTGCGTGAATTGTTGGACCAGCAAAAATACTTCGTCAAAAACTTTGCTTGAACAACAGGAAAAAAGCTTCAAGACGTGTACAGATCATAGTTGATTGTTCAAACAGGAGGTTTGATGATCTGTCGAAGCAGACCTATGATCTTAAGGTGAGGCTAGAAATGAATCAAAAAGATTTTGATGATTTTAAAATGTCATGTAAAACTGGTTTCAAAAATTGTAATGAAACCAGGACAGATTTGGACACAATCTGCAAACGTTTGATCTCAATCTCCGACAAGTCAGACTATCTGGAGGGCCAGTCCAGACGCCATGATATTGTGGTAGACGCCATTAAAGAGTCTGGTAAAGAAAACCTGACTGACTGTGAAGAAAACGTGAGAAAACTCTTCAGTGAAAAACTACAACTGGATCATCTGAAGATAGAGTTGGATGGGACCCACAGGGTTGGGAAGCATATTCCATCTTCACAAAAGCCCCGACCCATTGTGGTGAGATTTCTACGGCTGCAGGATAAACTCTCTGTTCTACATAAAGCTGAACCTTTGAAGGGCTCAGGCATCTTTATCAATGAGGACTTCCCTGAAGTCCGCCAAAGAAGAAAGGAACTACTCCCAGCAATGAAGGCAGCTCGAGAGAGAGGTGACATTGCATATTTGAGATACGACAAACTTATTGTCCATCCACCTTCCCAAAACCCACATCAACAAAGAAACCTTCAGAGTCTGGCTCCTTAGTCTCCAACATTAGGAATGTATTAAGTACTTTTTAGATTTTATTGTATCTGTATACATGATTCTCTACATACACTATGGTCTACAACACATCTGATCTGGAAGGCCAGACCTTTACTCCTTTTGATCTCTCTACCAGTGACTCTTATCATTTTGATATTGACCCAGATTTACATTTCTTTTCATCACTTGATGTCTCTAACCTCTGTAGTTTTTATGATCAAACTCAGTTTAATGACTTCTGTGTTTCTCTGCCACATAATACATTCTCTACTTTTCATCTGAATATAAGAAGTCTTCCTAGCAATTATGACAAATGTATTCATTATTTATCCTTACTGAAGCATGATTTTCCAGTTGTTGCCCTGTCAGAAACATGGCTTACTGAGGACTCAAGAGAAATCTTTAAAATACCAAAATACAATTCAGTTCACTATGTTAGAGAGAATAGATGTGGAGGTGTAGTATCTCTGTTTATTCACGGTGACTATGAATTCAACATCAGGGATGATCTCAGGTTGAAGTCAGAGAGGGATGAGGTGGAATCTGTTTTTTTAGAGCTCTCTGGTGGAAAGAATATTATAGTTGGTTATTTATCGCTCACCTGACTCTGACATCAAAGTGTTCAATGACAGTCTGGGCTGTTCTCTTGACCTGATAAACAATGAGGATAAACTTTGTTACGTTTTAGGAGATTTCAATATAAACCTTTTAAAAAATCGACTACATACTCCTACTGGGGATTTTCTCAATATTCTTTACTCTAGTTACTTTTTCCCTCTTATTCATAAAGCAACACGAGTTACAGTAAATTCAGTGACTTTGATTGATAACATCTTAACCAATTCTTTGAGTGAAGGAACCAAATCTGGAGTCTTGTATTCCGACTTGTCAGATCATTTTCCCATTTTCCAGTACTCTTTAATCGAGATTAAGAGAGCTAAACATACTAAGAAAATGATGCAGAAAAGAATTCTGAGCAAATCAAATATTTAAAAATTTAAAAATATTCTTACCAGTATTACATGGGATGATCTATATGTGGAAAATAACGCTGATTTGGCATATCAGAAGTTTATGAAAGTTATTAACCTTAGTTTCAATGATTGTTTTCCAATTTGTAGTTCCACCAAGAAAAGTGAAGTTAGTAAGCCCAGGTTCACAACACATTTACTGGAGCTGCTGAGGAAAACAAATAAACTCTACAGAAAATATGTTTCAAATCCCACGCCTCTTACTCATGGGGCTTATAAATCCTGTAGAAATAATTATACCCATATCATTAGAACTACTAACAAGAAATATTACAGTGAAACATTTATGAAGTGGTCAAAAGATATAAAAAACACGTGGAAAGTAATAAATCAAGTGCTACAAAGAGAAAAGACGACCCCAGAGCTTCCTTCAGTCTTTTTGGATGGTGACAAGCCATTCGATATCGCGCAAAAATGTAATGAATTCTTTGTAAATATTGGTCATGAATTAGCTAACAATATTCCGGCTCGTCATGGGAATCCACTGGATTTTATTCCAACAAATGTCCCTATTATCTCTTATTTTATGCCCCCAAACATTCAAGAAATAAGTGATATAATTGATGATCTCAAAACATCCATGACAACATTTCTGCATTTCTTGTCAAACAGGTGAAACGGTCAATATTGCAGCCACTTGTTCACATCTTCACTGTGGCTTTGAAAACAGCTGTTGTGCCAGAGGATTTAAAAATTGCCAAAGTTATTCCTTTAAAACAGAAAACCCACTTTGTTTTAACAACCATAGACCCATTGTCTTGTTTTTCAAAAATACTAGAAAAAATTGTACACAAAAGGATTGTTTAATGTGGAGTCTAATTCAATTCTTTACAAACACCAGTATGGTTTCCATAAAAATCATTCAACTTACATGGCTTTACTTTACCTTGTTGATAAAGTTATCTCTGCACTTGACAATAATGAATTTACTTGCAGTATTTTTATAGACCTTTCCAAAGCCTTCGATACAGTAAACCATAATATTTTATTGGAAAAGCTGCATGAATATGGTTTCCATGACATTGCATACAAATGGCTAAAAAAATGAGGTCTCCAACAGAAGACTTTGTTTGTGTTAAAGGTTGTTATTCAAACAAAGCCAGACTAATATGTGGGGTTCCACAGGGGTCCATTCTTGGACCATTATTATTCCTTATTTATATTAATGATTTGTCTAATGTGTCAAAAAGCCTTTTTCCGATAATGTTTGCAGATGACACAACCCTAGTTCTCTCTCATTCAAATTTCAATTCCCTGATTATGGAAGCAAATGCTGGTTTAACTGCCTATGCTACATGGTTCAGATTAAATAAACTATCTTTGAATATCAAAAAATCTAATTTTATTGTTTTCAGTGGCAAAAAATTGTACTCTAAGGATTTATCTAAAATTAAAATTGAATCAGTTGAGATGCCTCAAGTGTCATCTACAAAATGCCTAGGAATTATTATTGATGAGAGTTTAAGTTGGAGTAAACATATTGACTGTGTTAGTAGAAAAATAAACAAATCTATTGGAATAATAAGGAGGGTTAGACATCTTGTCTCCTTATTCTTTATTACAGTATCATTGATCCCGATCTTTCATATTGTAATATAGTTTGAATCAGTACTTTTCCTACTACTCTGCAAAAAATGTTGGTCCTCCAGAAACGTTTTGTTAGGATCGCAACCCGATCAGAGTCACACTTCTCTTCTGCTCCTCTATTTCAGAAACTGCAGATTCTTACTATTTATGACGTCAATATTTCACAAACTTGTGTTTTCATTTATAAGATACTTTCAGGTGAAGGGAATATTCCTGATCATTTCAAGACCTACTATAAATTCAATTCACAGGTTCACTCTTACTCAACTCGTCAATCTTCACATCTTCATCCTTCAAAGTTACTGACTAGCAGAGGTCAGTTTTCAATAAGATTTAGGGGAGCCAAATTATGGAATGACTTTTCCCACCTAACAAAAAAATGTCCCTCTATAAAATTGCTGTTTTGCAACAGTTTTTTAATGTATTAGTGTTCATGTCTTTCTTGTTGTAGCTGTTATATTACATTTATAGTTGTTTCACTCACGGGGACTTGTAGCATTACCGTTGCTTATGAGTTACTGCAGGTGTATAAACCAACATCCCTGATCAACCACAAGCCCACGCTTACTCTCACATGCACACACATGCTCACACACACTCGACACAATTACATTATGTTTCTTTTCTTTCTTTCGTTGTTTTGTTGTAATGTAATGTCTTATGCATATTTAATTTTATGTTTGTAATTTCGTAAAATTGTAATATTATATAGGTGGAGGCTTCAAATAAGCCCAGTTGGCTTTCTGCCTCTTCCTGCACTGTGATATTCATTTATCTCTGTTATGTTTGTTTATTTTTAATTTTATTGTTTGAATTGTGCAAAATTAAAAAATTAAAAATAAATTAAAAAATACTTTTCATAGAACATATGGAGACTATTAAATACATGCTTTCCACCTCTGACATGTCTCAACAAATAAGTTAAAAGATGCACTCAGTGCAGATCTCTGCCAGGTGTGTCTGCACCGGCCCCGCTGTTTGATTCAAACCATAATTGCCCCCCATATAGGCCAAAGGCGTTTTCTCACTTGCCCATCACAAGCAACAGATATGAGACCTGAGACGGCACCCACCCGTCACTCCAAGCAGCCCCGCCCTCAATTATGCTTAACTTTAAGCCTTAATACAATTTACATGGTTAGTTATATAAAAATCCACAACCATACCGTAGTCATGTACGGAGATATTATCAATAGAGACCAAAACTTCTTACATGCACTGTATGCACCGTGAGTTTTGTAGTCTGTTTTATTAATCTTGTTTCCTCTAGCTGAAATATGGTTTGTTAAGGGAATTAATCTCTGT